ATAACTATAAATAATAAATCATGCCACCCTAAAGAACAAAAATTAGCAGCATATAAAAACTGGATACACAGACTTCTTACACTTCCACTCGAGAAGGATGCTAAAAGCAAAGAATTAAACACCATTATTAATATAGCATTAAATAATGGCTATAGTAAGGAAGTCGTCATACACCTGTATAACAAACTTAAACAAAAGATAAGTAACCCGGATAACAAAGATGAAAAAGAACAACAAAAATGGGTCACTTATACCTACACAGGAAACTACATACGAAAAATCACAAAACTATTCAAAAACACCAACATAAGGATAGCCTATAAAACAACACACACAATAGGTAACCTAATAAACAAAACGCGACAAATAAACCCGTACGAGCATAGTGGCATATACAAATTAACATGCCAAAGTTGCCAAAAAGTATACATCGGCCAAACGGGTAGAAATTTAATAACTAGATACACAGAACACATAAGAAATATAAGGCTAAACAAAGACGAGTCGGCGTTTGCCCAACATATATTAAATAATCTCCATCAATACGGGCCGATGACGGTAATTATGGAAATGGTCGAAAAAGCTAAAAAAGGAGGCATAATGAATATAAAAGAGGACTTCTACATATATCAATTTAATAAATCCAATAAATTGATAGAAGAAAAACAGTATAAAAGAGAAAGTAACAGCCTATGTAGCATGTTCGACCTCATAATACACCATCAGAACACACCCACATTGACGTCACAAACACAACAAGCATAAATCCATGTGACACAACACACTTCTGAACAGTGAAAACAGCACAGCAGCCACGAGCAAACCCTGGACGATATAAAGGTAGGACATAACATATCCTTAAACATATATATAGACAGTATTTACATTGAAATAGTAAATACCCATAATATATTTGCAGAACCTCCACTTCAAGATAGCCAGGTGGCACAATATCTGCCCCATATAAGAGAGACGATGGGAGGACGAACACGAGCCTGCATGGTTTACGAATTTTAATCATTGACAATCTAAAAAACTTTTAATAAAAACTTTTAATTAGCATCAAGGAATCTTATACATTTTTAAAACTTACATTCCCAGGAAACTGCTGTGTTTGTGAAACGTTCTATTCTGTGTACTGTGTGTTGTAACATATAAGTGTACATACTTTGCGTGTAAACAAATTATGTGATAGTGGTTTCCTATTTGTAGTGATGTTTGCCCTCTGAAGATGGTCCACAGAGACCGAAACATGTAAGGGTGTTAAGTTTTTATGTAGTAAAAAACTTACAGGTCACATTGGACGGAGTGATTTATAATTTGTAATTGTTATTGTGACGGACCAGAATGAAACAAATCAAACTTAATGAAACAAAGATCTGAAATCAGTGTAAGGGTTAGTACAATTACTGTGTTTCTGGACATTAGCCATTATCCTGTTTCTATTTAAAACACATTTCAGAGACTGTGATTCTGTCTCCATCTTCAGGTGTAACCTACTCAGCTGGGCCAATAGACAGAGCTAGTCCTTATCCCTTTACATGTTATTTATATAACCAGCATGGATCTAGTATATACTGCCCAGAAATGGGGACTAGCTCTATTGATTGGGCCCAACTGAGTTGGTTCCACCTGAAGATGGACACAGAATCCAGTCTCACAAACACTGTGTTTTAAATAAAAACAGGATGATGGATAATGTTCAGAAACACAACTGTATTAATGTATCATCATCACACACTTTTCGATCTTATAAGTGTTCATTCTGATTATTGTACATCTGAAATGAAGGAAATGCTCAGAATTTCATGAGAAGAAGGTTATGCTCATTTTCATTCATCTGTCCTTTGTCTTTCTTAGAGCAGAAGTTGTGAGAACAACTTGTGATGCCTCTGCTGTTTTGTACACTTCAAGCTACCAATCTACATAATGAGGTCAGCAAGAACTGTGAAGTAATAATTCTACAATTTAGTGAGAAATTTATATTTACAGTTGAGGTGTGTCTTAAATGGGGAAAGATGGCACATAAACTGAAAATGGCATGTAGTCTAAATTACCCTTGAAAATCCTTTCAGTCACACAAGAAGCACATGCTTTTGTATATACCCTGTAATACATATGTACATAATGTAGTTAGCCCATGTTCGTAGATGGCCTTCAATTAATTCCTCAATTTCTTCCTCGAGGATGTCAACAAAGCCATCACACTCCAATCCTTCACGCCACAAGTTTTGCCAACATGCCCCAACCATTCCAGGCTTGACACCATCCACTGCCTTATTCATGGAGCTGAGCCCTTCTCGAGGAGCTGCCAATTCTGCAGCCACTCAAGAATTTCCCAGCGTTTTATGGAAACCAAAGGTTCATTACCATGTTCACAAGAGCCATCCACTGATCCCTATCCTGAGCCAGATCAATCCAATCTATACCATCCCATCCCCTCTCTAGATCCATTTTAATATTGCCCACCCACTTACGCCTTGGCCTTCCCAGTGGTCTCTTTCCTTCTGGCTTTCCCACCAATATCCTATAAGCATTCGTCTCCCCCATTCGTGCTACATGCCCAGCCCACCTCATCCTCCTTGACGTGATCATTCTAATTATACTTGGAGAAGAGTACAAGTTATGAAGCTCCTCACTGTGCAGTTTTCTCCAACCTCCTGTCACTTCATCTTCGGTCCAAATATTCTCCTCAACACCATGTTCTCAAACGCCCTCAGTCTATGTTCCTCCCTTAATGTCAGAGACCAAGTTTCACACCCATACAAAACCACAGACAAAAGGTTCTGGAATGAATGGTAACAAGCATTACCTGAGTTCAATCTCCTCTTAATTTCCTCCTGAATCAGGTTTTCATCTGTTATCGTTGTTCCAAAATATCTGAACTGTGCCACATTTTTAAAACATCTGTTTCCTACCTTTATGTCATGATTTTGCCCTGTATTTTGGTGATGACACAGCAACATATACTTAGGTTTCTCTGTGTTTACTTCTAGACCAACCTCTTTAGTTGCATCACTGAACATCTGTGTGTTTTTCTTTACGGTATCTACATTATCACCCAGTAGATTCACATCATCGGTATAGGACAACAGCTGACCATCCATTGCCTACTTAATAAAAATGATGAACTCTGCCACGCAGACCAACAATCCACCGCTTTGGGGGGCACATATGGTTGAATTCACTAAGTTAAATGTTAGTAAAGCTATCCCTGTAACAGGCTGTGAAGGCCCATAGGGTTGTGAGACGTTGAGGGTCCCACATTATCTAGACAATCGGCTCAAAAATGGCGGTAAGGTTGTCAGCCTTATGCACCGGCCGCACTTTACTCCCCAGGAAAATTATTTATTTAATTCCTGGTACTCATTTCTGTTAGAGGCTGAGTTAACCCCAGGGCCATAGTGCTGCCAGAAGGACCTCATTGGTATTTGAACCCACGACCTTCCGACTTGTAGCATAGTGCCTTAACCACTACGCTACCGCATGCCCTGTCATACAAAATTTGTAGGTACATTAATGATCCATCTCCATATCAAACTTCACATGCCTAATTGATAATCTTCATTAATTATCCCATCACACTGAAAGGTAAATATACACTTTGAACGGCCAGTGTGTTATATAAAAGTTGCATATTTTTCAAAGGCCAATCACCAAATAAACTTTCAGCTCAGAATCCTGTATTAATTCCTCAAACCAGTAAATACCTACTCCGTGCCAAAGTACCAACACCTTCCTTGTACCCTGTGACATGTTGATCATGCGAAGATCCAAGAAATACCATGAATTGATTTCACAGCTATTGAGAAGTCCACACATATGAACATGATAGTGCCATAAGCCTCAGTTTTTTACACATATAAAAAGAACCCCACACATATTCTGATCACTTTGTATTTAGTAATACAACCAAAATATAAATATACTTTGTACCATTCCACTACAAATGAAATGATGTAAATTTGTTTCAAAGCCAACCCAGGACAAATTAAAAGTTCCAACTATCATCAAATTAAGTGCATAACTATTGACAAAGTTTATTTTCTGTCATAGTTAATAGAAGGGGTTTTAGTGGTTTTGGAGTGGGTTTGTCCATGACGCGGAGTGGTGGCAAGGGACGTATCTTGCGGCCATGTCTTCCAGATTTGCGTTGCCACAATCCTGATCTTGGTCTGTAGCCAAGCTCACGAAGTCGCTGAGGGCTTCCAATTGGCGTCTTGCTGTGCATTATGTTAGACAGCCTCCCTAAACAAAAATATAAAGTTGAAAATTAAATTTCTGCCCATAAATTAGTCACATGTATTAGAATATTCTGAAACAAAAACATCAGAAAGGCAAATGGAAGAGCATGAAGAAACTTCCACATAATTTTCACCAAACTTCTATACTCCAATCTAGAAAAGAAGAATGCAATTGTGTCAAAAATCAAGAAATAAAGGAAAAGTTCAGTATTGTGGAGGCTAAAGCAATGGGTTGTTATAACACCAAACAGGATACTTGTAACTGACTGATATGATATATCTATATTCATCTATCCATAGCCAATGACAAATATATCCTTGAAGCAATGAATTCAGGGCATAAATATCAAAGTCTGTTTTCCTACTGTACAGAATTCCACTCATACAGTATTTCTGTTCTTAATGTTATATTTAGGTAATTTAAGTTCACAATGCAAAAATAAATATTGTCACATGTTGGGTGTATGTCACGTGACAAATAACTTTACGCCATTCTGGATGTAGTGAATTTATTGCACATTCTCTCTTACACTTATACAATTTACAATTTCCCAATTACTGCAATCTGCAGTATTACAAATACTTCTCCTGTAGTCATTTCCATTCACTCGATACAACTCGACTCATCGACTGCTAGATTGCAGCTGACTGGTTAATCATTACTCACTCACTACTGAATAGTATTCGCTGCTCCTTGTTTAAGCTCGGCATGGACAACACAGAAAAGAGTTACGTGATAAGTACCACTGTTGCATAACGTCGTGTTTACCGACTGCCTAGCAACAGTCATTGCATGGGCTCCCCTGTTGCATGACGCCATGTTTACCGGTTTCCTAGCAACAGATGCCCTACTGTTGTGTGATGTCACAGCCTAGCGGGAAGGGGTGTTTCCTGAGCATTGCGTAATGATGGAAGGAGTGACATCACTCGCGAGAACGCAGAGTTCATGTGACCCATACTCCACGTCACAATATATTTTAGTTTCTGGAATTGCGCGCTGGGCTCAGGTATCAGCATTATACAGTTCCTGCCAAATTGCACATGACACATTTCATATTAGAGGCATATGAGGCATCAGGGGCCATCTCGAATTTTGAAAGCTTCTGATGGCGTATATCTCCTTGCTGACAGCAAATAACACAATAAGCACAATGGTGAAGGAAATGTTTGATGACTTGATAACAGATGAGACAGAAACACTATACTAATGGAGCAATCATAAGCTGGAAATGAGAATATAGAGTAAAATTTCATTGCACCAGGGAACAAAAGGAACAATACATTGTAATATTGATTACAGATCTACAAATACACAAAATTCAGTTTAAAAACATTTATCGCAGTTCTACTGACATAAGACATCATTAAGTTGTATACAGGATAAGAAACCTGGTTCTTCATTTGCATAATAAGCAGGAACTGAAACAGTTTGGAAACAAAGTACCAAGAACGTCTGAACCATAGAAAATTGGACTAATGAAGAACCTTACACATTTCTGCACAATGTCATCATGTTTAAGTCGAACCATACATGAAGCACAAGAGAAAGAGGACAACATAAATATTCTCACGTAGCAAAATTTGTAACCTGCAACATCTGGAAACTGACTGTAATGTCCGCATTTGAGTTCAGTTGCCTCAGACAATGTCATTATTAGCACTCACCAATAACAGCCATGCATTCTTGTGAGAAAGAGAGTTCATGTTTCGTGGGCATCTGAACAACAACATGATCTCCAATACGCCGCATTATTGTAGCATATGTACCAGCTGCACGAACATATCGGCCTCCCTGGCCTGGATACGACTCAATACAATGCACCCGTGTTCCTACTGGCAAGGCCCCAAGTGGGTAAGCATCACCTTCATTTCCTCGCACTGTAAACATAAATACAAAGCTGCATACAGCCCAAAGTAATTATACAGATGGAATGTATCTAATAACGAAACAATACAAAACAAAGCATATTCTCACAATTATACTGTAGCCATTGACTAAGTTGAAATCTCACCTCAGGGACTGCAGGACAGTGCACACATGCAACACTCTGTTCTATTCCATGGTCCAATGAAAAGAGGTACTGGAGCAAAGTACTTCATACCATAATAACAGAAATAAGTAAACTTTCTATACAGGGTTATTACATATGATCTTACAGACTTAAGAAAGTTATATTTACACCGTTAGTAAGAAAAATTCTCAAAGTTCGCAAGCATTCAATGTGACAATAACAGTCACATATACGGTTTTATGCAACCACAAAACACGGCGTGCTTCATGCTGCTGAGTCGCCATGATAGTGACACGATATTTGTCATTCCCATCATTCCTCCAACCTCCTCCTCCTCCTCCTCCTCCTCGAAAGTTATAGGCCTATTAGCCTGTTTCAACTTCAAGAGAACTGGTCATCCCATCTAGCTATGGGTCATCCAATATTTCAGTGTCCTCTGGACCAGAGTTTTTCAAACTTTTCAACTCACAGCACACCGAACAAGGTGCTAAAACTGCCAAGGCACACAATAAGTTTTTTTTTAAGAAGAGATTTTATCCTTAAAAACATGAGAAGTCAGATTGTGTTTAGCCAAAATTCTATCACTGTGTTGTGTTTAAAAATAGTGCCTATAGTTAGGTGGGAGGGAAACCCTGCAAATATCAAAGTCTAACATCAAAAGGATGATGATATATATGTTACATATTAAAGAAATTATCTATTATAAATTTTGATCTCCAAAAACAGTCACATTCAGGCTTGAATTTTTTAAATGTCTACAGCATGGCATTTATAAAAAAAAAAGCACCAAATCCTTGGCCAAGGAAGCGGGGTTTGCATCATGACATTGTGCCTTCAAATGCAGCACTTCTGCTTAAAGCAACTTCCAAGTCAAAACAAAACACCAACATTGGAACAACCATCTTACCTGATTTGGCCATCTGCCTTTTTCATGCTTGCAAAACTAAATAAACATGCCTGAAGAGCACCATTTAGTCACTTGAAGACAATCAGAGTAATGTGAGAGCACTTCTAGAACTAATATTGTATTTCAGCATCCTGATGCACTGATGTATCAAAAACAAACCAAACAAACTCCGTGGCATGAAGTCCGCAACAGAACTATACCGACCTAGTGACTGCCACTTGTCAGCGAAGTTAGTGCCAACTTTAGTGGACAGAGGGTGTTGCATGTCAGCACAACGGATCCCCACAGCTGTTAATATCAGTTTTCTAGACTGAAGTTGCATTGATATGTCACTCTATATATTTACATCCATCATGCAAAAGTAACATATATGCAATTAGTGGGAACATACAGTAATAAACAACGATAACACCACCGCACCAGTGTTCATAGGGCTAAATAAAACAACACAAAAACAGACGCTGGCAGAGGAAAATAGTGTGGGAAAGGATAAAGAGTCATGTTCTCAAAAAAATGTGTTTTAGTGTGAACAGTAAAAAGCAATATCATTGAAATATTTTGACTTGAATTAGAGCAGTGTGGCGATTTCAAAAAGTGAACAGCTGCCTGAGGATAGCTGAGTAAGGCTGAAACATGTAGCACTTGATTGTGATTATAATGTTATTTTGAATTAAGGAGAGATTGTGAACAGAGGCAGAAGTGAAGGTACAGAGTGATTTCTAGTAGTGTTTCCAGGTATGGCAGTGGCACAGAAATGCATGCACAAAGCAAGTGAAGTGACTGCACATGACTATATCCTTCTTTAACAAAATCAATGCAATTATCTGTCTGATGCTGTACACTAATACTACTACATGGCATGGTAATGTCCAACAAACCTGGAATTCTTGGTATGTGTCTTGATGTCTTGATGATATCGCCTGCCTGCATGTTTTCTGTTGCAAGGATGTACTTCAACTGGTCACCTCCTGCTACAAGGGCTATTTTTGCTGTTCTGCAGCCATCATCCATGATTTGAATCACTCTTTCTTCTATGGGTTTTCCTTCATCAGGACCTTCCCTAATCCAGGCTATCCAGTGGTACTTATGTTTGATCCCTCCACCAATTCCCTTGCAAACAACTCTACCTTCAATAAAGAAAATGGTCACTTCATATACATATAAAGAAACACAGGAACTCTGGCTAGGTATAATATTAACAACATTTCTTAATTCGAGTATACATATGACCACAGCATAAATCTTACTTATTTCCAGGAATAATGTTTCAACTAAATCTTTCCTCAACAAAGGGTTAAGACTGCAATAAGTTAAAAGAGATCTCCATATGCAGATTCTCACTTGTTAAAAAATGGTTATACTTTTTATTGCGTCTTGGTGTAAATTAACACCAGTACACATATGCCTCTGATCTACAAAATGTGAAATTCCAAATTATGTACTTCCTTCTTCAGTAAAGAGTTATGTCTTCTGGGTTATAGCACTATGTAAAAGGTAAAAGTAAAGCTATCCCTGTAACAGGTCATGAAGGCTTATGGGAGTGTGAGATGTTGAGGTTCCTATATTTTCTCTAGACAATCGGTTCACAAATGGCAGTAAAGTTATCAGCCGTATGTACCAGTTGTCCTTTAACCCCAGGAAGATTCCTGGTACTCAGTTCTGTTAGAGGCTGAATCGAACCCAGGGCCATAGTGCGGCTGGAAGGATTAGGTCAACTGAAAAAAATCAACATCAGGACTCGAACCCCTGACCTGCCGGCTTGCAGCACAGTGCCTCAACCAACTATGCTACTGCATGTCCCCTTAACACTATGTAGTCTGCTGAAAATTGACTGATGACTTGGAGGAACATGTCACCTCTGCATCCAGGGTCAGAGAATAAGCCAAGGAAAAAAAGAGTTCTTGCTACCTGCTTCTTCTTGGTTTCTTGCTTGACTTATTTTTGAACCCAGAAGATGGAGGTGACATGTTCCTCTGAAACATCAGTTGACTTTCAACGGGCTCCCGAGAAGACAGAATTCCCCACAACCATCACTGTGAGAGCATCAGATTCCTGGACATTTCCGCTACAGATCTACTGAAAGCCTTGATGCCTCATCTGCTTTGTGAACTGTAAACTGATCACCAAAAGCCATCCTTAGTGATGTTTTATTATGTACAGAAAATAACTGGCCATATTATATTTTGACAACCATAACAGCTCAGTTGGTACATTGACAGGCTATGGGCTGCATTGCTGGGGTTCAATTCCCAGCAGAGGCAACTAATTTTCCTTTGCTCCATAGCAGCATCACCAGTAGCCATCACGACAAGGACCGTAACAGATCCAGCAACATCAGAGGACACGGAAAACAGCGAGACCTCCAAAAAGTGAAAAGTGCAATCAATATAATAAAATTGAACTTTAATTCATGAACTTTTTAACCAATAATATAATTAAAACTAGTTAAAGTGAACTTGACGCAGTGATGAGCGTAAGTAGGAAGTGACTGAATAACAAGTGAAAGTGAAAGCATAACTAGTGATCTGAATCGAAATTTGATTCGCAAATTTTAAATTTTAACTTTTGACATTTAGAATAATATTTTAACTTGTGTCTTGTGAGAGGAGCTTCATATATTATTGAGCATGGGCCTAAATAAGATACAGGATCAAATAAGTGAAAAAGATGAATGTCATTGCGTGTAATTATACAGCTGTGTTCGTACACCTGAGGATGACCTCTTGAGGTCGAAACATGTAGTGTAATAATAAAAATATGTTGTGTGGTCGGTAAAATTGACACTAATATTAATTAAATACACAACAGGATGCAAGAAACAATTAAAGCTGTCAGGAAGGAGTTCAATTTCCATCAGTTCCCTCCATATGTATATTTGAATTTCATGGAGAGGATACCAGTGTTACAACTCAGATTAATATTGTCCTCCACGATGGCCGATTTTCAGAATGATAGGTGCATGCTGATGGCAATCTTTCACCTTGACAAGCCCTTCCGTTGCAGACCTGACCCTGCACACACCTGACAGAACTCAATTACAAAGTGATGGCACCTGTGCAAAAGACGGGAATATTCTTGTATGGGCGCAAAAGATGAGTCCATATTCTTACGCCAAATATGAGGGGTACAAATTCTGTTCATTGTTGACAGCTGAGGTGTGTGTGTCTATTCATAGCAGATGTACTACTAAGAAATATACATTAATCTCAACTCTCAACTTGGAGATACAGAATGCTATTTTCTGGGATGGGTCGCTGTGTAGATCTCGTGTAAACCGATGTTTCGGAGGAACGTCGGTTTACACAAGATCTACAAAGTGACAGAACCCAGAAGACAGCATTCTTCATAGTCACCACTGTGAAAACCTCAAAACTTACAGACCTGGAGATGTTCAGCAAATGGCACATGACTCTTTTGCTACTGTGAGAGAGGAAGACTGGGGTGGAAGAAGAATACCAGAGTAGAGAGTACAAGACAGACAGCATCGTGGAAAGAATCATTATCAACTCAACCCCAACGATGATCACACAACAGAATCTTCAGCTTTCAGCGATGAAGAAGACTTGAAAGGAGTTGTCCCATTTCAGTGATAGCAAGTAAAGCTCTGATACACATTCACTGCTTTGATTTTTATGAAACATGTAAAAGCAACAAAGCACTTGGACATAGCAACTAGACATCGGTACATTTATAGAAGGAAGTGTAAGTTGTGATGCACCACTCTTCCCTACTGTAGTTTACTTACAGGATTTAATTACTTCTATGGCAAAAGGTCCTTGGGTTCCAATTCCTGTAAGAATGGCTTTCAGTTATATGGCAGGAGTAGTGTTTTAATTTTGCTGAAAATTCATGGCCTTACCATGCTGATCAGTAATACCTATTACAATTTCATTGCAGGTAACAGTACTAAAGAGGTTTTCTTCTTCATTGGAGTGGCTCATAACAACCTTATTTACTCCGCTACCCTGTTCCCTTCATTCACACAGGTTTGTGTCATCACATAGTAACAGGGCTCTATCTTCAATGTAAGGGTAACCATTACGAGCAAAAGAAACTGGAAATGGTGGAAGTAGATTCCTACAAGAAGTTGGTAACAGTCCGCCAGACAACATGGCATCACATCCCAGAACACAGTCCTCTTCATAATCACCACTGTGAGAACTAACATAATAAGTTTTGTTGATTATAATTATAACCCTTTGCATGAAAAAAAAAGGAAAGAATAAATATCCTGAATACAAAAATAAGCTGTCTGCATGTGTATGATATAATGACATAGTTGACAATCACTGGAAACAAACATTTCACAAATTTGCTTTCTAAACATATATTACAAAATTCATACTTGTCACTTTTGTTGTCATTTATACACAGATTATAAACAATTCACATCAGGAGGTACACTGGTGTCTAAGAAACAGACCAATACTTACAAAATATGACTACCTTTTTATTTCAAGATGCCTCTCTGCACCTGAGAATAAATCTTGGTGAAATCTTTAAACTGGGTGTGTAGAAGTCAATATAATTTTTTCATCTACAAGAACATGGTACAAAATAAAACATATTCAATGCATGATATGAATAGTATTTAATCAGCAACACTTTTTAAACAAATCTGAAACAGTTTACTTGTATATTAAGATATAAACGCCCTCATGTCTGTCTCTTTTATCTGATATCACAAATACAACACCGCCGCGCATTCTAGATCGATATGTGAGGCCATAAATGTTCATTCTTAACTTTCATTTCGTATGGCTGGATTGGGTTATTAAATAGGTTAGGTTATCACGAGGATGCCCAAATTGTATTGAGCACTTTAACCCACTTTCATACAACTTAGGAAAATAAATGGTGAGAATGCGGATGGGTAAAGTGTTAACCGGAATTTTCAACTGCAACTTTATCGAATGAGTAATTTACCTGTTACGGGATCTCTGCCACCTAAGTTAGTTACGTTTAACGGTTCCACTGTGTATTTCTCTGGATAGTGAACAATACGACGAAACTGACGTCCATTTCCAGGTTTTGGAATGTCTTCTTTCCAAATACGTCCTTCACGTTTTACAAATTTTGGGCAGTCAATCCAAATCAGTCTATTCCATACGATTCCCAGATTTGACGGGAATCTTATTTTTAACACTTCACCTACACCTGACGATCCAAATACAGTTCTTACAAGCAGTGCAGAGGCCATTATACACACTCACAATGCTCGCCGCGAACAACTGCAATCAAATGTTTACATCACTTTACACGAAACATAAGACAACCGCCATTACACCTCCGAACTATCGCGAATCAAACCTTCCAGTGTCGCTAACATAGACAGCAATTTTTCTCTACTGCTGAGTTTTAGACATATATAGCTCAAGCCGGAAGGTCGCGGGTTCAAGTCTCGATGAGGTCATTGGATGTTTTTCAGTTGACCTAATCCTTCCAGCCGCACTAGGCCCTGGGGTTTACTCAGGCTCTAACAGAATTGAGTACCAGGAATTAATTAAATAATTTTCCTGGGGAGTAAAGCGCGGCCGGCGCGTAGGGCTGACAACCTTACCGCCATCTTTGAGCCGATTGTCTAGACAATGTGGGACCTTCAACGTCTCACAGCCCTTTGGGCCTTCGCGGCCTGGTATTGGGATAGCTTTACTTACTTTTATAGCTCTCATTTAATGTCTTCACCGTATCATGAAAACTGTTTTGGGACTAGATGCATGTAAATAAGAATGTGCGCCAAATAAGTTGGTTAACACAAATTCTGCTAACTGGAAACCATTTATGTTGTCAGAAAATTAAAGTTAAAATTAAAGTTAGAATCATGGGAAACCCAAAGATTCATTCCAAGACGAGACTAACACGTAGGAGCTGGGCCCGTCTTGAGACGCCGCCAGTTACGCAGTTACCCAGAAATTTCTCAAAATTTTAAGGAACCCGAAGGTTCAGTCGGCTCACAAGAGCCTACTTTTGGCCCCTATATTGAAGTAGATGAAACCAGTTCAGACCACCACATCCTATATCTGTAAGATCAATTTAAATATTATCCTTCCACCTAAGTCTCCATCTTCCTAATCATCTCTTTCCTCCCTGCGTTTCCACCAAGTTCATATATGTAGCGGTAGTGTGATAATTCTGCGATGATGACTGTCAGTTGGCTAGCTGAGCGTGTATTCCAACCACAAAGTGCGAGTACTTACTACGCTCACTCCAGATCATAAGAGTATTTATTGAACTGTGTATATATTCCATATGAAGTTGGCAGACGTGAGTCTGGCCAACAGCCTGTTAGCAACAACCAGACAAAATGCGCCAGTTAAATCCAGTCATCTGGTTCTCATACAATTCTTATATAAAGTTACAGCGCCATGTCATGAGACAATAAACCCCTGCAGAATAACAATGTTACGCCAAAGTTGGGGAGAGGAAAGGGGTTAGTTAGTTCCAGACGTTGAAATAACTGCAGAAACCCATTGACAGGGGTAGATATTACATTTGCAAGTGGAGGCAGACTAACCTCTTGACACACTACAGAATTTAGTAAGGGACATGACCCAGACATCAGACTCGGATATCATAAAACTATAGGGGTGGGACAAACCTTTGCGACAATGCCTCAGCGGAAGTGAAACAATAATTTCTACCACTGTGGCGGGGCAGGCCTGTGCAACTGAGGGCGGCTGCTGCTGTTGCTGTGTGTTGGTGCGTAGCACCGCCGCGAAGGATAGTCCTCGGGTGGTGTGGCTGGAATAGAACTTTCTCCTTGTATTCTTGGGCGCTCTCTGCGACTCTTTCGCACTTCGTCCCTGGCGCGACTGAAACCTCCATAGTCGGTCGCTTAGATTGCTGCTGGTCTTCACCAGCACAGTCATTCTACTCGAGGTCCATGACCAAGATTTGTATTCGTTCCTAGACATGTACTGTTTCGAAGAATTAGGTGTCGGTGTGTCTATGTAGGCGCTACGTCTGTTGCACCGTAGTTTCAGGACGAGTATATCCGCACTATCACGCGTCCACGTCACTATGGATTCTTGTGTGTCACTGAATAACATTTATACAAGATATATAGAGGTTTCCTGTCAATGCAGGCTTGTACAGCAGGTTATACCTCAATTTACGTAACTACACGCACTCCCTCATACGTCTTCATGGTGTAGTGCCTAATTAGTTAAGGGCAGGGAAAACTTTACTTCACCCTTACATGATGACGTTTTACAAAGCTCCAATTAGGTTAGTTATCCTTATATCCGTCCCATCTGGGAGTCTGCGGCGGACGCTCACATCTTGAAATTGCCTGCAGAACAGAGTATTCCGCGCTACTGGAAATCTTGCCAGGTGAACAGCAGTCCTTGAAGTTCCCGCGTCTTTCAATATTCCTTACTTGCACGACTACGTAACTAAATTATGCAGGACGCAGGCAGAAGTAATCCTGAACTATATAAATCCAAATGTACATGGTATTGGACAAGGAGAAGCCAGGCACAGGAAGTATCAGAGGCTTAAACTTGGTGGCGGTCAGAATTTCTTATGGTTTCATTTCATCACATAAAACGTCGTTTGGAAGATGATGAAGCGGATAGGGCACATGACAGGGGTTGTGAAAGTGTGACCTTGGCTTTTATTTTTTGGGGGGGGGGGTGCTTTCAGGACTATCACACCAAGGCGAGAAACATTTAGAGTTAACCCTCGCTAATCCGGAACGAAATATGAAAACTGCTGCTCACGATTGAGTACGTATAGGGTGATTCTAAATTGTTGTCGGGAGTTCTGTGACCTATAATTTTCAAATCGGGAGAAAAAGAGAAAAAAACTGCTCATGGAATATGTAAGTGTAACTCAAAAAGGTTTTTTTCTTGTGGAATCAATACTGCAAAATGCTAAACAACTTCAACATGGGCACCTTTATTCTGTTATTTTCGGGTTCAATTTAAAAGCCACGAAAACCCCGACAATAATTATGAATCACATTGTACTTCAAAAGACACATGGCATTTAGGACTTTTGTCTTTTCAGACAAAACTCGAAACAGTTTCTTTAAACCTGCATTGTTACTTTCAAAAACATGTAAAACTTCTGAGTCTTCTATGAAGAAAAAATATATTGTCTTTTTATAGTTTTTAAATAAAGGCTCTACAGGCATATTTTCTATTTATTTTCATCAGCACTATTTATATCATTAAATTTTCCCTTTGTTTGTTCATTAAGTACCTTTTTGTCCTTTTGGGATACTTTTCGCTTGACTAATCAGGATTATCGCCTAATCCTGACAGCACCCCCTTAATGACTCCGGATTGGCGAGGGTCCACTGTACATGGCGCAGGCGTGAAAACTATCCATACATAATGCAGAGGACAACAAGAAACAGCATATACCTGCAAAACTGTCTTCGTATTAATTTGGTATTACAAAACGACGGTCAATACAAGTAACAATTGTAGATGTTTAATAATTAATTACATTAAGCGTAATAAAAGTAAATGAATATATATTTTCGTGGATAGGATATTGTTATCTTGAAAAACATGACTTCGAATTGCATTTCTTCGGGAATCTGACATGTTTGCTATCATTTTATGGGACACGGAAGAAATGTTCATGTAAGATTACGATTTCACTGTTCCGTGTTCAATGAAAATGGAGATCGGTAACTTATCCCGGGAAAATGGACGTTCCTTGGAACCATATTATAATAAACATTTCGCTCCGAATATCTGACAGCAAGTTTATACTGTGAATACTTACTGACTAAACACTGGTGAGCGCTCATTAGAAGTAAGTCAACTGCACTTAAGGAGCTTATTCCACCACTTCATATACGTGTTCTTCCAGAGCTGCCGTTGTACAAAATGTGTCTACGTTTGCTCCCAGAAGTCCAGAACATCTGTACGTAGTGTCTGCTGTAAGTCGCCGTGGAGGCACTTCAGGCGCGACATCTGTAAGACCGGTGACATCGCGGCATAAGTAATGGAGATCTGTTTTCGGTGCAGTAGATTGATGGAGTGTCTCCACAATGATGTAGGGAGTATGCTGACAACAGCCTTCCCTTACTTCATCGTATGTCCTCGTATCACCGCCACAGAGCATACAGTTAGGGCAATGTGTGGCTGCTACAGAGTATTCGCAATAGCTACGCCTGCGTAGCATGACAGCAATAACCAGAAACACCATACTGATTATAAGACCAAAGACTGCTGCGAACACTTTCCAACTAAAGACGGGCCTTGCATGTTCAGTGCTTGTTAAAGTCATGTTTGAGTCCCAACTGTGGTCGTACGGTATTTGGGTCGTAGAATTTATCGATGACTGTACGAAACTTGGGAGTTTATCCCACGAAGAATTACCTGAAATTGTCTCCTGTTGGTACCGGTACACAGCTTTTGTCATGGTTCTTGATGTTGTGACAGAAGACGTAGATGGAGCCATGCTCTCTTCTGACGCAGGTCTACTGGACGTGACAGACATGGCGGAAGTCGCTTCCTTCGCAGAAACACTGGGCACAGTACAAGATGAGTCCGCCACGGGCATCAACGCGTGTGATAATGCAGGTGTATCGCAAGGAAGGGCCTGTAATAACGACCAAGTTCCCAGAGGCCTTCCGCAAAAAACTGCATCTAACTGAACACTGCGATTGGAGCACCATACTGCAAACGTCTTCATACGGCAGTCACACACCAAAGGGTTGTTTGAGATAAGCAAAGAATAAATTTTATGAGAATAGCGAAACAACTCGTGGGGCAAGACTTTCAGTTCATTGTTCTTCAGGTTTACTTCCACCAGGTGAGGGTTATATATGAATGTGTCTAACGTTAAACATCTGATCGCGTTGCCTTCCAGAACAAGCGCCTTCAGGTTCGGTAGTCCGCTAAAAACGGCGCTGTCCAACACATGCCAACTGCTGTCTTTCATTTGATTGCTGTATGAGGCATCTAGAACATTGAGATGTTCAGAGTTAAGTATGGTACCGCTAAGCACGAGCATATTATGACTTACATTCAAGAAATAAAACAACGTCTTATGACGAAACATGTCAGGATGAAGGAACCTTAGTCTGTTCACGCTGACATCTAACTTCTTCAGTGTGGGATTATGTCTAAACGTATTCTCATGTAATTCTTCAATCCTATTATTGTCCATGTACAAAATTTCCAGTTGTTCCAAGTCGCAAAACGCATCTGGTTCCACGGCACTGACATTGTTGTGGTCCAAATAAAGGATATGCAAACAATATTTACAATGTAACGTCTTGAATGCATTGTTATGAATTATGAATATATCTGAGGAGTTCTCATGACGTTCTCTAGATGCGAATTTCTCATTTTGGATGAGGTTACTAGTCAGAT